GGAAAGAGATGGACCAAATGCCACAGAACCAGCCTTTCTCACCATGTAGTTCAAGGCACATCCTGGGGCTCATCTGCTGCAAGTACTGCATAAGCACAAGGGAAGGAAGATGCTAGACTGCAGCCTGGGTCAGTTCAAGACTGAGCCCCTGGATCGAAGGCTGTATCCTCCTCTCTCCCCCATCTCACACCATGACAGGTCCCACAGTAGCAGTCTGATGAAGTGCTTAGTGCCAACTGACAAGATTTTTTACTGTTACATAGAGTAGTATTTTTGTTCTTTTATCTATAAAGGAACCCTGAACTTTCTACACAAAAACATAGGTTTAAGAATGTTATTTTCATTATTCATCCCAATGCTCAAAGCTAGGAAAGGTCAAATTTACGGCTGCTGCATAACCATATTATCGACCTCTTCAGTACTCTGCAGTTGCTTGTCAAGTGATCACATACTACTTTTTTCCATAAGACCCATGCCTCTTTTAGGATTTCTATTTCAAAACAGAAATTTAATATTCCTAGATGAACATACTATAGACCCATATTCTCCTAAATTTTCCATGTGTCCTAAATTTAGACATTTGCAGTCCTTTGGACACAACTGCATGCAAGTAAAATTTCTCATTTTTTTTCTCTTTTGTTAGTTTTAAAAAAAGAATTGGAAAATGTTATTCAGTGCAGGCGGCTTATTAAACCCAAGACAATCAAGGCAACATCCCAGGAGTCACAGTTCTGCAAGGAACTAAAGGTAACATTATCACAACTGTATTGCAGGCTGGAGGTAAAAGATGAGTAATCTACTTAGTTTTTGCTGAGTCCTGCCCTGGCAAGGGGGTCAGGAGTATTTCAGGGAAAGTGGCCTTTTATTCCTCTCTGATAGTGACTCATACCATAAGCTGCAGCATGGGAAGGGCTTTTCACAGTTTCTGCATCTCCTGCTTTTGCTTCACAGGCAAATGGGCTGGAGTGGATGAGGAACGGTAGCCCCACCATTGCCCACGATAAGCACTTCGGAATAATAGCAATTTTAGAGCATATATGAATTTGTAATAACTTCCTCTGCCCTCGAACAGAAGGGAAAATAGTATAGAGAAACATCATCCAAAGGCATGCCTACATTGTGAGTATAGGTTGACCTAAGATGATTCAACCCATGCCAGTGGCAGAACGAGATGGGCTGGAGGTCACAAGGGAGAGGTGGCTGAGCAGGCTGGAGGGAGCCCAGTTCTGGCCAGGAGTCAGCAGACCCAAACACAGGGCTTATTAACTCAGGGGCAAACAACTTAACTTTCAAGAGCACTGTTGTGATTGATAGTTATGAACCGGGCTAGTTCCAGTGAGGGTGTTCCCCACTGCCGCGGTGTGGACATGTTAATCTCTGCTGTCCTGGATATCTTCATGCTTCGTATACGTCACTGAGTAGTGTCAGCATCTGCTAAACCCATACGTTTCCTTCTCCCTTGGAACAGCTCAACGCTATGCTTCTTCAATACGTATTGTCTTGTATATGTATATACATATATATAAATGTATATGTTACAAAGGAAGTATGATTAAGAAATTCTGTTTCGAAAGTTAAGTTTCTAAGGCCTTGTTTCTGACTCCTTAAGAACTGGCAACTGGGAGTATTTACTTCACATGCAAAAAGGCTAGACTATGCCAAATGTGGGTGCAAATTAGGACCTTATGATGCTTATCTAGTTCTGTCAATTTTAATAGATTCAGGTAGTGTCATTGGATGATACAGTAAAAAATTCTCTAACATTGATGTTTCTTTTTTTTGTCTTTGATGTCTTAATACTTGCAAGGAAATGTGTGCGCTTGATATGTATGCTTATCTTTTGTGAAATATGAAATTTTTATGACATGAAAATTTTGACTTGAATTATCTTGTTTTCACTGCTGTTTAATTTCTGCTTTAATATTACGCTCCTATACCAAATTAAGAAGTTTTATTTTATTACAGGATTTAATTCAGAAATATGAAGGGGATCTATCCCAGCTGTCAAAAAGATGTGATGAAATGAAGAAGCTTTATAGCAACCTACTGGTACATATCATATTAAAATGCAATGAAAAGAAATCTACATTTCTTTAAAAAAAAAAAAAAAAGGGAAGAAAGAAGTGCAAGAAGTTCCCATACTTCCACATGCTTTATAGTTATACTGTCCACAGAAACTGAAAAAAAATTCACATCTAACAGTGGTGGAATATTTTGAATGAAAATCTGGCTTTTATTTTTCTTGAGGACTGGCAGCCTACTTTTTAGAGGGTCTATGGCCCAAATATCAAAAAGAAAAGTAGATGTTCACCAACTTTATAAATTCAATTAGTTTAACTGTTGAATGTTTTCAACATGTTACAAAAAACTTGTTATGGAAAACAACATGCTTTTCTGGTGCCTACTAGCAATTGTGTCTTTGGCTGGTAGGCAGCTGCAAATCTTCTGTTACTTGGGCTGAGGGTTTTTTCTGGTGATAAGCTTATAGTCCAGGGCATTGATTTAGCTACTGTTATTCGAATGTGAGAGAGACAGGGACAGAGATGTTAGAAGCAGCACGGATCTAAAAATGAGCAGAGCAGAAAGGAAGCTCCACGGGCAGAAGATTTCTGATAAAGGAACTGTCTGTTCTTGTTTGTTCCTATTGTAATCACCCACACGTGCACCACAGAAGCACCTAATTTTCTCGATCATTTTTTCCTCTGAACAGAAGCAGCCCACCTAGGTCCAATACACTAGAAAATGTTTTTTGGGCGAGAGGGTCACACCAGAAGGAATGCTAAAAGCTCCATGCTGCAATTTTTAATAACATAGAATGTAGATTCCTCGTTTAGTACAATGTTCTTGGAGTGTGATAGAAATTCAGGAGGTCTCTGCTATAGTAACAGTATTCTCCAGCAGAATAGTCACACTAGGAGGTTGTAAGGGAAGGGACAGATTTGATGAAATGCAGTGCTAATCTCTGAAACAGGAATAACTTCTTAGTCCTGGGATTAGGACAGAGCTTTAAGTGGGGTGTGCTGGTTTTTTTTTTTGGTGTTTTTTTTTTTTTTTCTATGAGGTGGGGGGGATTAGAGGTAGAGAAGTTTTAGGATAGGCAAATGTTACACAGAAGATGCAGCCATGAAGACCTTTGGGGGCTATCTGAACAAACATTGAAGATTAAGGAGATGTTTGACCAGGGAAATTTAATTAGTAACATTTTACTAAAAGTAATATTGTAACAATGTGCAAGGGTTTCTTTGTGTATCTTGCAGCCTTTCACAAATAGGAAAAATGCCTCAGTGTAGGGTAACAAGCCAAATTTGTATGGTAGCACATAGATGAAGAACTCTGTCCCAAGCCTTCAAAAAAGGTTGAAGGACTGGGATAAAACAAGAAGAAAAAAAAAGGTGGACAAAATAGTGTAAATGAGAGAATTAACAATTGAGTTACATGAGTGGAAATGGTTGAAAAGTATTCACCAAATTTAAAAGTGAGGAGATTTGTGCTGTAAAACCTTTGGGGGGACAGTTCTTGCATGGAGTATGGAAGAATTTGACCCGTTTTACTTAAAAGTCATCTTCAGGAGGAGTTAGTGTCGTGTGGCTGGTCCTGCTTGCAGAGCTGTGTCATGTCCAGCACGTGCTGGATGTGCCCTCCTGCATGTGCATACTCTGTCGTACTCCTGCACAGACATCGTTTCTCTCCAGCTGTGTACATTCAGCCAGGAGGCATCACACATATGATGCTGTGCTACAGATATATGTGTGAGCCTCTTTGCTTTCCTTTCTTGTATTGGAGACTCTCATCTGAGACTCTTATTTGCATCTGAAGAGGATTTCATTTTCTGTGTAGCTGGAAGTTTCCTCAAGTTTTAGCCCAGCTGCTTCAACACCCCTCCCCACTGCCCCTTCTCCCTTATTCTCTAAAGTTAGTCATTTGATATATTTCTCTCACTTAGAATGGATTTTTTTTCTGAATAATGTTATTGCTAGGCAGATCTTCTTGCATATTTATAAAGCAGCAAAAATGTAAAGCAAATATAAAATAGGATAGGTGATCAAAGACCAGGCTATCATCTCAACAGCACTAGGCAGGAGTAGTCCAGCTTACCTGGGGGAATATCTGATCTGGAAATATGTTGTAGGTAGCCATGGAAATCATGTTGCACATAAACCAAAAATCCACAGGTCTACCTTTATGATTTTATATTCTGCTTATAAAATCAATAATGACCTTGGCATGTGACACTTCTATGGAACAAACAATAAATTGGGGATAACTGCCTGTGGTATAGCTGTGGGCTATCAACTCCTCACAGATGGTCATTAGCTCCAGGAAATGCCTCTCTCACAACTGTTTATCTGATGATACACCATGGGTGAGTGGCGAGGCGTGCCAAAGACCAAGGGCTTGGAGCACCCAGGAGGTGCAATTAGGAACACAACAGGCAAAACTATTAATCAGGTGTCACTGGTTAATGTTAAAGTTTTTGTGACTGAATGATATGTGAGTGGTCTCTTTTACTGTGTCTCTGATTTCCAGGCAGAGGATTTGCTCCTAACAACATGTCAGATGGTGTCCTGGTGAACGTGTTTAGACAATGACAGATACCAGTCCAAACCTTTCTGTATATTTCAGTTGCAATCTGAAACACAACTACGTTGCTGTTCAGCCTTGGGAGAGCTGTATCCCCCAGTTACAGAGTAGCTCTCAAATACAGCCAAGATAAGAACTTGTAGCAACACAAGATGCCTTTTTAAACTTTTTGATGAAGACTTTGAGCATGTTCTCTGGAGTCGTTCTCTCAATTAGAAAGCTGTTGCAGGCAGAGTTGTGTTCTTTAACTCATTGATCCTGTTAAGGAGGAATCTTTCTTTGAAAATGATGACAAACCTCTAGAATTAAACCTTAGCAACAGATTTAATATCAAAAATCCTTTCCTATGCTAGAACCAGAGAACCTACGTGGAAGTGATTTTAGTTAATGCAGGAATCCCTCTCCTAGTACTGAACTTTTTAGTATGAGTGCCTTTCACCTCTTGTTTTATAGTGGAGCAGACATGATGCCAATATTGTTCATGTCTTTTTCAAAAACTTTCCATCCTTTCACCTTTTTCAGGTGAAGGGAAGAAGAGAACAGGGAAAGGTGGCTCTTTGATAAATTACTTTTTTCTCCCAAAAATGTTTGGTTTCCTATAAATATTTTTGTTTGTTTGCAAAGTAAAATGACAGAAAAGGAAAGCTTTTTTGGCTTGAACATGCTGCTGCCATGCCCACTGTGGAATATAAACCATTTCCCTAATGTACGTATTTTCTTTTATGAATGGGTTCATGTAACAAACTGCAGAGCCAGGAAGCCTCATGATTTACTGATTTTTCTCCTCTTTAGCTGGAGATCTATAGTCCAGCCAGAGAGACTGGGTTATACAGAAACCCAGGTTACTGAGGTAATTCAGTGACCACTCCTGGGCCACTTTTACTTGGGGGGGTGTTTTGGATCTCAGCTTGCTGGAGATTTTAACCAGCTCTAAGTTTTCTTCTTATTTCTTATCATTGTTAATGATAATAATGCATAAGGTATTTAACTTTTCTCTTGCTCTTTTAATTTCATTAAGATCCTGGACACGGTTTAGATTACTTGGATATACTAATGTTAACTATTCTTCTCTTTCAAATTTACAGGTAAAATTTGGGGAGCCACAAGACCTAGACTCTCAGGAACTGTTTGGATGGATATCTTCATTCATTAGTGAGTTTAGGAAG